GTGTGAATGCAGACAGTCCTCTTTTTTGCCCAAAAGGGGCAAAGTGTTTGATGCAGGTCATGGAGAAAGCATGGTGTGGGTAAGACAAGGGAGGAGTGAAGAAGAGGTGAGATGAGGCCACAGGAGCAGGGTGCAGAGGTCTTGGCACCTTGGGAACATTGAGGGCAGTGTGTCAGTTAAGGGCATGGTGAGATGATGAAAGGCCAGGGGACACAACAGAGAGACGAAACCACTGTTCCTTAGAGGCAGGACTGAGAATGTAGTGACCACTGAGAATACAGGATGATTAGGGGTGAACTGAGACAGCAGACGGACTCAGTACAGCTGGCTGAGGACACGGACGCTGGCAGTGGTGGCACTGGTTGGGGGCATGGCAGGAAGGGGTCAGAGCTCAAGAAATATTCCTGAGTCTGTGGATTGACTTGGAGGCGGCAGGGCACCGGCACTGGATGTTGAAGATGAGGTGGAGTGCGTTTGGGAGATGACCGTGGAGGAAACCGTGGATGGGTGGTGTAGGATTTACATGTGAACCTTGTGTGGAAAAAGTGAGATATTGGAGTGGGGCAGCCTTGCAGAGGTGGTGTGATACAAGTGGGGTCCTGGAAGCTCATGGGAAAAGAAAGATTTGTGGTGCATGAGGGGAAAGAAGATCATGAGCCCGTGGGGAGCTTACTGCCCATACAGGGTCCGATGCAGAAAAGGGGAAGGAGGAAATCAGAGTTCCCCAGATGGGGCTTTATCAGATCTCAGGGAAGTTGGTGCCATGCCTCTTACCAAGGCCAGCCCATAGGACTAGGGCAGGGTGGAAAAATCCCAGGCTTTTCAGAAGTGGATCCTTAGGAGAAAGTAGGGAAAAAGCGCCTAAGTCGCTCAGGGTAAATGGAGGAAACAGGGCATCACTGCACATTCAGGCAGCACCTGCATGACAGGTAACCTTGGGGCTTGGGGATGGACTCATATGTTTTGAGTCCAGTATGTTGGCAGAAAGATGCTTGCAAGTGTTAGAGAGAACTAATGGAGAGGAGACAATTCCCAGTGACCACTGCGTCTGAGCTTTTGCTGTCAAGGGAGCCTGAGAGGATGGAGGAGGTGTAACTTGCAACTGAAAATACGCACTACACCACACTTCACCACAGAGGCGCATGAAGTAGAAGAAGGGGCCTTCAAACATAGGTAGCATCTTAGATTTAGTGGGAGATTAGGTCAGTAGTAAATGGGCACATCGGAAGGCAGTATGCCCAGAGGTTGGAGAGGATGAAGGTTTGGGTGCTGACACAGGTGCTTCATTTTTGGAGACTTTTTCAGAAGGCAGAGAGGAAGAAAGGAAGGACAGGATGGATGGCAGGACCTGTGTAAAAAGAAGGTCTTAAATTCTAAACAAGGGTGTAGTAAAGGCAGTGTGGCCAAGAGGGAAAGAAGAAATGGTGGATCCAGATGGCTTCAATGGGTAGTGCAAGATCAGGATGACGGGCAGGGGTGCATCAGCTCATGGGGGCCCTATCAGAGGTAAATGGAAATAATGGAGGTGAGGAAAGGAGGAAGTGGCAGGATTGGCTGGAGAGTTTTGTAGGAACTCACTTCATGGAATAGAAAGAGAAAAGAGGAAACAAGGCTAAAGTGGAAGAGGGGAAGGAAAAGGCAGCTTAAGGAAGGCATTGGCCTTGCCTTAGGAAGTGGATGAGTGGAATGAGTGAAGATCTGGAGGAGCAACAGAAAACAGTGTTGAAGAGAAGCTGGGATAGGGAGAGGATGGAAAAGTTTGAGTGGTGAGAGCAGGTCAAAGCAGTTGAGCACATCCCTAGAGAAGAGATGACCGAGTCGGATGAAGCAACAGGACCTGGGTGGTTGAGAGAAATATAGACCACAGACAGGCAGGTGCCTTCCCTTGGCCAAGGAAGCAAAGAGACGAAATGTGTCACAAGGGGAAAGCCTGCAAGAAAGAATGTGGAAGTGGGACGATGAGGCAGCGCAACTGGGGAGTCACCTACAGAAGACAGACAGGGTGGAGGGTCCCCCAGGGAAGGATGGAGGGCAGAGAGTGTGGTGGAAGGGAGCCGGGCAGGACAGCCACGGGCAGGACAGCTACAGGCAGGACAGCCACGGGTGGAGCCAGGTGAAGGGGGAGGTCCCAGAGTAGGAACAAAGGAACCTGGAGTGCTCAGGGCAGGCTGCAAGGTTTGGCATGGGGAAGGGGAGGCATAAAAGGGGTGGACAGCAATGGGCAGGAAGGAACGGCTGCTCTTAAAGCCTTGAACTTTATTGCAAAGGTGCAAATCTTGGGCCAGGCTATTTACTATGGATCTGGTGGGGAAGGGTTGTTTGGTGGGGATGGAGTATGGGGTAGTGTCTGGGTTGGGGTTGACTGGGTTGGAAAGGAGGGAAGGATTGGGAGCAGTGGGGTATGAGTGGGAGAGGAAGTTGGGAACCAGATGGGGAGAACCAAGTCAAATTCTGGGTTGGAAAAAAACCTTATTTAACTGAGCTAGTGGGTTACATGTCTAATGCTGACGGTGATGAATACAGGCTGGGGAAGACTTCTGAATCCACCAAAAGAAGTAAATGATAGTGGTTTCTTGTAGGTCAAAAGGTCAAGGTAAATGGTTGGTTTTTAGGACACAACTGTGAACTTGGGAAGCAAAGGGGGTAGTTTCTGCAGGACTGTCTTGTCAGGGATCTGAAAAAAGGAGGCGGGATTAAGGAAAACTGACAATAGTAAGCACCCATAATAAACAGGTTGAGACCGAAGATATTGACACAGTGCCTGAGAGTCCTATCAGGTGGGAGGACAAGGAGTATGGGGTGGGGAACAAGTCTCCAATGCACACTGGTGTTTGGGGTCAGAGGTGTGTTAAAGGGCAAATAGGGAAGGAATGAAGTGGTTCCAAGTAGAGACTGCCAGGCCTAATGGGGGTGGGGAGGCAAAAGAGATGTTTGAGTGGGAAGTTTCATGGCAGGAATTAGAATGGTCTGGGTGTGAAACGAGGGAGTGAGGCCTAGGGAGTCAAGGTGGCCGTCCACAGCAGTGATTCTTATCTGGGGTGGGGGGTGGTTTTCACCTGGAGGGAGGGCTGGGGGTATGGACCCCCAGGCAGGCCTATCCAATCATCTGAGGGGTGTTGTGCTCAGAAAAAGTAAGGGGAAAAAGCAGTCTCTAAAAGGAACACAGACAATAGCAAAGGAAGGAACTGAGCCCAAAAGATGATTCTGATAGGCTGTCTTGGGGTCCTGCATCCTCAGGTGAGAATCACTGGTGGACGTGGGAGGAGGGAGGGCTGGACAGAGATGTGGAGTGTGAGGGGAAGAGGCACATGTGGCGGGGCTGAGGGAGGCATCAGGGTCAAGACTGTCAGGTGTGGGAACACAGTTCCCGACAGACCACGACAAGGATGACAGCGAGCAAATGGATGTAGCCGCAAGGCACCCGGGACCATGGTGGTGGAGCTGGGATTTCCAACGCCTTGGTCCCAGACTGGAGGACTCAGGTGGAGGAGTGAGGCCAAGAGAAGGGCCCTGTGACACAGAGGAAGTAGGCTGTGCGGGTGAGAGCAGAGAGCAGGGGATCTGTTGTCACGGGGAAGGAAGGCGCAAAGGGGGATGGAGACAGCGTGGAAGGAGGGTGTCTTGAAGACATGGGCACTAAGGAGGCACAAGGCAGGAGGAGGGTGGGACTGGCAGGAGCACCCAGGAGGAGTGGAGAGTTGGGTCTCAGGCAGGGCAGGAGAGGTAGGCTGAGACTGGGTGCATTTGTGTCGATGTGGGGAGGGGGGTGGGGGGAGAGAAGAGTGAGTGCTGATGACAAAACTGCTGCGGTGACAGGAAGAAGGTAGGAGATTCAGAGGTGCATGCTCCCCAGAGTGTTTTCACACAGTGTGAACAAAAGGACGTGAAAGGAATCAGGAAAGTTTAGGGGAGTCAGGATTGTGGGGCCCTGGAAAGAACACATAGCCTGGGCCACTGGGACATGGGCACAGATAGCTGGGCAGAGCTTGTGGATTCGGTATGGTACGAGTGACGCAGAGATGTCTGCATCTGCTGGAGCAGTGGGTGCGGGGCCAGGTCAAGAAGGGAGGACGCACCTGAGAACATGACTCAGGCAGTGAGAGAATCACAGATGGTGCTGGGAGAAGGCAGGATGGTGCAGGTGGGACAGTACCGTGCTGTGCAGCAGAGGAGGAAAGCAGGAGGAACGAGCAGCCTGGGCCCAGGAGCTGGGAGAGCAGAGGGTGAGTTGACAGTATGTTGGAGAGCAGAATAGAGGAGAAGTGTTCCCCAACGGGCAGGAAGAATGAATTGGAGCAGGTTATGGAGCCTAGCAGCTTAGAGAGGTGAGCTTGTTGAGAGGATCAGGGAATGTGCTGCAGCAGTAGGGGCACGCCAAGGAGCAAGAGTGGGTGTGAATGCAGACAGTCCTCTTTTTTGCCCAAAAGGGGCAAAGTGTTTGATGCAGGTCATGGAGAAAGCATGGTGTGGGTAAGACAAGGGAGGAATGAAGGAGAGGTGAGATGAGTCCACAGGAGCAGGGGGTACATTGTACAGTAGCTTTAGATGGCACTTTAAGGAAGTATAGGCAGAAAGTTGAGAAACTGAAATAATTATGAGTGATTATATGGCAGGCAAAGTGTTTTCCTAATATTGTTACAAACATTGTTTGATGCAGGTTGTGGAGAAGAAAGCATGGTGAGGAGGTTAAGACAAGGGAGGAATGAAAGAAGGTTAGAGGAGGCCATAGGAGCAGGAGCAAGGGGTAGATGTGTTGGCACCTTGGAAACATTGAGGACAGTGTGTCAGTAAAGGGCATGGCAAGATGATGAAAGGCCAGGGGATACAACAGAGGGAGGAAACCACTGTTCCTTAGAGGCAGAACTGAGAATACAGGATGGCTAGGAGTGAAGTGATACAGCAGATGGATCAGTACAGCAGGTCGAGGACGTGGATGCTGACAGTAATGGCATCGGTGAGGGCAGGGAAGGAAGGGGTCAGAGCTCCAGAAAGATTCTTGAGTCTGTGGACTGACTTGGAGGTGGCAGGGCACATAGGACTGGATGTTGAAGATGAAAAGGAGTGTCTAGAAGATGACCATGGGAGGCAACACTGTGTGTAGACTGCAAAGTTTCCATCCGCATGTAGTGAGAGAGAAGCTGAAGTCTGGCAGCCATCGGAAGGCAGTTTTTGGAATGCAAATTGGATGACGGAAGTTTATGGCAAAAGAAGGGACAGGAGGCAGGTAAGAGGGGAGATAACTTTATGAATTTGTGCAGGGCTAAGCATCAGTAAAAAGGGCTGACATGAAATAGGGGACGGTGGAATGCAGAGTTCCCAAACTGGGGGCACTGGCAAATCTCAGGGGCACGTCAGTCGTATGTTCGGGGTAACAACATTTAACCTCTCGTAGTAACTACTTCATTGAGTGGGAAAACAGAAAAAGAAAAAACTTTGTGGAGGGTGATGGTAAAGCAACCCCAACCGATATGGAAAGCAGTGTTAGCCAACTGATATGGAGGGCAGTGTTGGTAATCACTGGAAGTCAAGATTTTGAAAGCAAAAGATTAACAATGTAAAATTTGCAAGTGTGGGTGTTACACATAGGTTATTATGTGTTTAATGTGATCTCCAGCAAAATTAGCAGAGGCCAAAATAAAACGAAGTATTTGTCTATTTAACAAGATTGGAATTAAGGGGACAGTATACAGGTTATATCAATTTGGGAATTATTTAGGAATGTTAGAGTTGGTAAGGTGGGTATTGTTGTCCCTTGATCCAAAGTATAGAATAATGGCAAAGAAGAAAAGTATATAGAAAGTCCTTGTCATTAGGGAATTTGCTGGCTGCCTTAAAACTCCTTCAGGGAAACACTTCATGAATGCTTAGAGTCAGGAGAATAAACGGTCCCATATAGAGATAGATTTATGAAGCCAAGTCTGAAGGAAGAGCTTCATTAGCAATCCCCAGAATGTCAGTTCTACTAGCCAAGGACGCAGGTGAGTATGTTGGATACCAAGAGAACAGAAAGGAAGTGTTCTGAACACTGGAGGTGGGTCAAGGAGGAAGCTTATACATATTCACATGTGAATCGATTTCAAGGATGGATGAACAAAGACTGGGTGGTACTAATATGGCAGGTTTTTTTTTCCCCTGAGGCAAAAGGCAGAAATGAGTGGGTATACCATGATTAAACTGCATACTGTAGAGATGGGATTATTTAAGTCAGCAATAAAAATTAGAGATACTGAGGACGATGGGGTAGAAAAGAGATATCAAATAGGTAGGAAGATGGCTTGAAAGGGAATAGGAGAAATTTCAGTGAGTCTGAGGAATGGCAGACTGGGAATAAGACAAGTAAGTGGGTGAATAAGGAGGTCTCAGACTGAGAATCCTGGCAGATCTACCAATGGGTCAGATTGTAGGAATACTGATTTTAAAGTCAGGCTGAGGCCAATTCTAGTGATAAAGGAAGGGGGAAGGGTGGCTGAATTGTAATGTTCAATCCCCCTTTTTTAGTATTTGAGTTAAAATTCAGATTAAATGCTTGGCTTAGAAGAATGCAAAGTTTCCTCATTAATATGGATCCCAGTGAGTGAGTGGAGGTGAGTTAAAGAACTCTGAGGCAAATCTTACTTAAGTGAAGTTGTGTTTTTAGTATAGAATGCTGAGTTAATATGGTTAATACTGAACAAAAAATAATGGAAGGGAGACTACAGATTCAGAGAAGAGCTATGAGTCTATCAGACTGTATGGTAGCTTACAATGGCACTTTAAGGAAGTGTAGGCAGAAAGTCAAGAAATTGAAATAATTATGAATAAGTCTATGGCAGGTACTATTTCTAATGGAAATCAGAAAATAAACTCACATACATGTACTATTACAGCTGATCTTAGTATGAATATTTTCTATTAAAGATTGTTTTAAAATAAGTTGTTTACATTTGTCGAAATGGTTCCAGATGATGAGAAATATGATGCAATAAAACCTGATAAATAAAAGCAATACAAAGATTAGAGGGGTTCCGAATAGGTAGTGGAATAAAAAGTTAAATTGGTAGTGGCATTAAACAGGTCCAACATGTGGAACAATCGGTAGAATGTTGTGTATATAACACATATTGTTACTGGTGCAATAAATATTCAGGAGAAACAAAGCTGCTGACAGACAATGAATGCTTGGAAGGAATCTTGCCTTAAAGGCTTTTCTAAAACTTTTTGGGTAAAGGACAAATTCTTGAAGGATGAAAGATAATAAGTAGGACTAATTACAGAGAGACTTATGATGCCCATAGTCTTTCAAGAAATTGCTTTTAAGAGAAGGTGTTATGGTAATATATTGATGTTGGGTTAACGCAAATTTTTCAGATAGGGTAGATTTTTATATATTTATAAAGTAAAGGGGAGGAGGAAAGATTAAACGTAGAGTGAAGAAAGGAATAATTGATGGAAAAACTTTCTGGAAGAGATTAAGGATATGTGTTTTTTGAACTCTTGGGAAGACTTGATTCTAGAGAGGATAAAGGGAATAAGTGGATAGTTCTAGAATTAAACACCAAAAGGTTCTATGTGTCTGGAACCATGTAAAGCAAATTACCTATTATTTCATTTCATTTCATTTCATCTTATAAAAATCCTAAGAGATCAAATAATTTGTCCAAGATTACACAGTCAGTATATAGCAGGGTCAGAATTCAAATCCTCTTCTGTCTATCAAACCTATATTCCTTTCTATTATGATATGTTCCTTTCAAGTTGAAGGAAATCAAAAATCAAGAATTTGCTTTGTCATTGTGATTATAAGGGAAAATATTATTTTTCTGAAATGAGACACACTGATGTTTAAGACCTTAAGGTGATAAGTAAAATTTGGAATATCTGTGATGGGAAAATGCAAAAAAGGAGGGAATGGATAAAAGATATCTATTACCATCTATGGCCTGGTATTTCACTTCTTTCATTGTATAACATAGATTTTAGATTGGTCATGGATGAAAAATTTGAGAATTCTGACAAAAACTAAATAGAAAGGAGTTTTTAAGCAGGTATATGATGGGTCAAATATAACTTACTACTAACAAAACAAACAATTCCCTATATGCCAAACTTGTGTAAACAAAAATCAAACAAACTATCAAGCAAAAGAGTCCATAGCCAGCAGACCAAATGTTGAAATATCTGGGCTAATTTGTAAGATCTGTGTTTTAAAACTCCTTAGTGAAGAGGGGCGAGAAAACCTCTCTCCTCTTTTTCCTCTCTTGGTGGAAATGTTTTCTTGTTGTTGGTTTTTTCCTATACTATATATGTAATTTCTATATTGTTTTGTGTATTTTGGTATTATAAAATTGTACTTCTTAGATTCTGTTAATAATGCTTACTGGGGTGTGAGGCACCTGCATTATCAGTAAATTGAACCTGGAGAAGTGGGAGGAGCTAGTATTCTCAATTGGCAAGGGATTGATTCTTCGATGGGTTCAGCATTTCACTTTCCTCTGAAATTAAGTGGGAAAGTAATAGCATCCCTTAAAAAGCAGAACATTGGTGAGAGGTAGAATAGCAGGAGGAATTTTGAAACATGGAGAGATGGCTACTGGAAAAAAACCAATGACGTGCAGAGTCTCCCAAGATGATGGTAGAAGCCACAGGACTACATTAAGATTGGGCCCAAATACTAGTTTAGAAGAGGGTAAATAAAACTAGCTTTACTTAAGAGTACAGCCAGCTTAATTACTGGCTAGTGGACATATTTCAGACAAATCTAACTGAAGAGAAAAACAGACCAGGAGAGAAAGCCAAGTTATAAGGAAATAGAGAAACCTCACAAAGGGATAAAGGAGGTAATTAAAGGTTAAAGCCAGATAGCCTAGAGCTCAAAGGAGAAATCCTGGAGGCCAGATAGGAAAGTGCCTTCCTACTCAGGGGGTTAGGGATCCAGGGTGGCTGGAGAATAGAAGTAGAGTTCTGCCCAGGGCCAGAGGGAAAAACCTGGGATTCAGACACAGCAGTGGTGCCAACTTGAATCTACCTCGTGCTAGAGTCTGAGTAGCCTGGTCTATAACCCAACACAGATAACACTGGACAGGGGCTCCCAGGAAGCAACATCTAAGAAGGGAGTTTGGAGAGGGGCTAAAAGAAAGCAGGTTAAGCCCCAAATGTAACGGAATGATGACCAGGGATAACTATTTACTAGTGCTTTTATGATTTCTTGTAACTCTGTAACTTCCCCAGTATTTGTTAATTTTTTTGACTTCTGTTTTTCCTGTACTTCTTATGTGTAGTAAAAGTTTTCAAAACATAAATGTGGTGTGTGTGCTTATTTCTTTGAAAACTGGGTAACAGTTATGAGTATTGTGCAATGAATATGAGAAGAGAAATCAAGTGGGAAAATGGCGGTAGGGGAATCAAGTAGAATAAATACTTGACATTCATAAGGGATAGGTCACAAGACCTTCCCAAGTTTCCAAATAAGTAAATACTACTTTTGGCACTAGCTGGCTGTCTTTCAGGGGCTATTTCTACCCCCTGCAAAGACTGCATGTGGGTCAAGTAGAGACTTACAAAGCCCTTCTTAATGTGGACACACATGGTTGGCTAAACCACTCACTAAGCTGAGACATACTCTCAGACACCAGCCTTATGCTACAGGACCTTCAAAAATGATGTATTTTTAAATGCTGACAATCTACTATATAACCAAGTTCCATCTAACTCGATAGAAACTTGAAGGAGAAGTGGGTCAAAACTCTTCATAGGAGACATCAGGTATGTGAACTCTCACAGGGGTTACATTATTCCAACAGAAAGCTTGAGTTCCTTTTTGTGCTACTGCTATGCACATGCAGTTTCTCTTTTAAGATTAAATGTCCAGCGAATTATACTCAGAGATTTAGTTTTAAAATTAGTATGTCTGCAGCAGTAACCAATTTTATAAATATATATATTCACACACACACAAACCCATACACACACACACTCATTATCATTACATTAAATTCTAGAAGAGAATCGCATTCTTAAACTGAGCATTTGTCCAGACAGTTGAAGAGCTCACAAGGTAATGCATTCTGAATCACATAAGTATCTCTGCCCTTCTGAGAGTTAGTACCTGCTGTAGGGTCATCATCAGGCAAGCGAACAAGAGTGTAACATATTCCTGGCTGGTTATAAGGGAGGCTAGGGGCTGGGATACAACACAGCACTTCATAGGAATCTGATGGCTCCATCTGCACTGTCACTTTCTCCAGCAGCTGGTCATTGAGAGTGTTGGTGCAGTCAAACTGAAAAGTCAGTAAATGGAAAAGTTGTGAAGAATAACAAGTTGTTATCCTTCCCACTCATAACCCACAACTCAGCTCTGGAACCCACTATACCTTCTATCTCTAAGGAGCAGGGTAGGTCTCCTCCTAAGATTCTTCTTTTGGCAACAGGGAGAGCCTTATTCTTGAGGTCTTTTGTTTATATTATTCACCAGCTTTTTCTCTTTCCTGAGACTGCTGTACCAAACAAGATGGCAGAAGTCTGATCGCTGTCAAATCTAAGTTCTTAGATAGCCCGCTTAATCTACCTTGATGTTAAGTGATGATTTTAAAAAGTTGGTTATACTTTATATTGTCCGACTTCTTCACACATTTCAGTTTTAATGTTCTTTAGATTTTAACCATCAAAAGTTACCCATCATATGAAGGGATCTCTATAGCTCTGCTGTTAAGCAAGAAAACCAGAAATTCTGCCAAATTAATTCTCTATAAAAGAGACTAGAATTATAGGTAAAGGATACTTGTCTCAAAGCATACCAGCTTATACCAAATCCCTACAGGAGCCAATGGTATTATCTTACCTGGAACACAATGTGATTGGTAAACATATGCTTGATACATCGAACAAAATATTCTGTTTCTGCTTCTGTAAGTTGAACAGGCTCAGAAGACTTGAACAAGGGTCCTATATTCATAAACTCAGGAATGGCAGCCAATTGTTCTACCAAGAAAAAAGAATGTGGGATATGAAGAAGACAGACAAAGACTTCACTCTGGATGCTTAAACATGTTTTAGTTTTCACAGCCTAATAGTTGAACATTTAACTAGTATGTCCCCAAGCTTTAGTGAAATAATCTTTTAAGTAAAAGTGAGCTTATATATTCATAAAAGCAAAAAAAAAAAAAAAAAAGAAACTTAATACTTATTTATTTTAGAATTAGTTCTCTGTTAACCAACAAGATACAGATAAAAACAACAATCCCAGTTAGCAATTACAAACTGGAAAGTTCATGGACTCCAGGTAGCCTTGGCAACTATATCATATGGTCTTCAGCCACACACATATTTCGTATACTAAGAACTGATCAAATTGAATAAAATTGGTGGACTTCATTATATTTACAATGCCTAGGGGCAAGATGATTACTTCTAACCATCAAATCATCATACCTTGGAAAATGTCTTGTCTGGAAGGAGCCAACTTCTCTGGCTTACTAGCCACAAGTGTGATTTCTATAAAGACAGATACGAGCAAGTGAGTGAATTTCTCCCCCTACTATCAAGCTACCAATACAGACAGAGATGAGAGCAGACATTTCTAGCAGATATATAATGAGCTATTACTAAATCATACTTATAGGTTATCTGTCACTTCTGGTGCAGGACACTCAAAATGTATTTAGTGAACATATGTTGTGAAACCATAAGGTAAGCCCTAGAAATATAGAATTTACTTTAAATGGACTGGGATGTACAAAAATTACTCAGAAAAGGAAAAACAATTTATTTTTAAAATCTTCTCATGATCAAAATAGGAAAAATTACTTATATCAACAGAAAAATTGAAAATAAGCATAAAATTGTTTCTTCCCAGTTTTGTGTTCTAACCACTAAACATTTATGTCTCTTTTTTTTCTTAAGTTTTAAAGTTAGATATTCTTTGGGAATATTTTCATAATTGTGTCCCATAAATTCTTTTAAGACAAACCTCCAATAACAAAATTAATTAACTTAGAGATTATCAACTTCAGAAAATAAAAATAGGAGGTGACAGCACTAATGTTGCTCTGAGATGCACAGTGGCAACTGACTTCAGATACTGTAACATTTGCATTAAAAAAAAAAAACCTTCATCTTGGAGTGTATTACATATTATTGCTTTTATGTAAAAATCAGGAGTTTTTTTTTTTTTAACTCTAATAAAAATATGTCTTAAATCTAAAAGATTTATGAAGAGTGACAATTAAATGAGTATTAGATAAAATATGCAAATATTTTTTAGTTTCACAAAACTACTTATACACAGAAAAACTAATAGAGCTAACTGTTCCCATTACCTGCTTTCTGTTCAAAGATGGGAGCCATAGCGAGAGGAATTGATTTCATGTCAAATGGTTTTTCTGAAGGCTCCAATGTGTACTGGTGTAAGGCTTTTTCCATCCCTGGTACAGAGACCGTCAAGCCTATGAAACACAGAGAAATCTCAGCATTATAACCTCATGCCAATCCTCGAATCCAAATTTGCAATATTTATCTAAGCTTTCTGAAGGAAGAGAACAATATAACCAAAAGCTTTATAACTTAAATATAAAAATAAGGATATTATTGAAACTGCCTTATAAACTTGTAAACTGACTTATTTCATTCAAGGAAACATGGGAGCAGAGCATACACATTTTCTTTTTTTTTTTTTTTTTGAGACAGAGTTTCGCTCTTGTTACCCAGGCTGGAGTGCAACGGCACTATCGGCTCACCGCAACCTCCGCCTCCTGGGTTCAGGCAATTCTCCTGCCCCAGCCTCCTGAGTAGCTGGGATTACAGGCACGTGCCACCATGCCCAGCTAATTTTTTGTATTTTTAGTAGAGACGGGGTTTCACCATGTTGACCAGGATGGTCTCGATCTCTTGACCTCGTGATCCACCCGCCTCGGCCTCCCACAGTGCTGGGATTACAGGCTTGAGCCACCGCGCCCGGTCTGAGCATACACATTTTCAACAAAATATATGTACCTCCTAGAAAAGAAAGCAACTTAGCTATACGGGAACAATGATAGCATAAGAAAACGGGAAAAAGGTAAACCCATCCAAGAGGGAGTTCGAGGAGAACCAGGAATGTGTGAGCAATGTTTTTTAAAAATGTAAGGGCCCAATCTATATTCTTATAGATTGTTGCATAGGAATTACCATTACCAAATTAGAAAATATCCCATAAACACAGGTTTCTCTAGAAATGGAAGTGCATTCAAAGACAAAAACCAAGCATTCGCCTAATGAAGTGAGCTCATATGCAAATCATGAAATATGCTTCCAAGACACCATTTGAGGAACAAAAGTGTACATCCTTGGCTTTCACTGACCATTAAAGATGTATGTGGCATTCAGTGCCATCTGCCTCTGCTGCAGCACATTCAGATAGAAGGTAGCTCTGTCTCGTACCTCATCATCAGTATCCATCATACACCTGTCCAGGGGAAACAGAATAGTCATGTCACAGGACCCCAAAGATTTCCAATAGCTCTACTACCAAATCTGAAGGACAGAGCTCAGGTCATCATCTGATACTATCTTTTAAAAAGTGCTCAACAATAGCCAACAGTGGCTCCTAAAGTCTCCACAAATAAATCTTGGGTACTGTTCTGAATTATTAAAGAAATATTATTATTGTGAATCACAAGCACTACACAAGTAGGCATTAAAATAACAAGGAGCACAAGAACATGAAATAGCAGTCTGGAGTCTTTTCTTCCATCTGTAACCGCATGCCCCTTAGACTTAGACTTCTCTGTAATTAGGAAATGGGAGTATGATACTTTCCAAGGATACTAAAAAGATAAATTCAAAATTCAATTGTTATTGCTCAGATGACAATCTGTTTTATGTAAACTAGCCAACCTTTGACTTGTAATTTATCTGCTTCAATTGTAAGATGCAATCACAGTTTGCTAAAGCAAGTCTCTTCCCCATCAAATAGTCATGAAGACAATGAAAAACTATTATTTTCAACTGCATAGTGAATTATCTAATATCATTTTAAAGTAAGCACCTGTTGTACAAATTAAGGCACATGTATTAAGTCACTTTCTCAAAATCATGTGAAAGAAAGCCAAAGTCAAATGTGACATGTACCTAGCACATAAAATGCTATGGAGAACTAATCTTTTAGGGAATGGGGTTGGGGAGAGAAGCTCTATAAATAAGAGTGAGGAGTGATGGAAACATGTAGGCTACTGTGGAAACCAAGGCTAGGACACTTCATGAAGTGTTCGGTCAATAGCACATCAAATTGACTGAGAGGTACACATAATTACTAAAAAGAGAAAGA